GATCGTACATCGCGCCAAAGTAGAGTCAGGTCGACTCTAGTAAGCACCCAGAGAGGATTTTCTTGGACCGAACACGTCAGATCAACAAGGACCGAACACGCCCTAGAGTCCGATCAGCACTTCGCCTCTCTGCTCGTGCAAACCTTGCCGACGTCAGCGTACGTCATGGCCGACCGGACGCAGGCCCTGCTAGTCCGGTCATGCCTCCTCTGTTGAGTCCGATCGCAGACCCAAAGGCGCCCTTCTCTGCGTCAGTTGACCGGACGCGCCTGGGGTGAGTCTGGTCACCCTGAGGCAGAGTCTGGTCACTTCTGTGACCACTTTCTCTTCACCATTTCTTCGCCTCCTTTGCAAATATGCCAACACCACTAAGTGTACACCTCCATGTGTACGTGTATTAGCATTTTCACAATCATTTTTAAGGAGTCAATCACTCAATTCACCACGCCACTCGATCCTAGCAATGATGCAAAGTTAGATAACTCGAGTGGCACTTGATGACCGATATACAAATAAATTTGCTCCTCTTGATAGTACGGCCATTTATCCTAAATCCGGTCATAAACTTCTCTACACACCTATAACCGGTGAAATAAAATACCCTATGTTATACCTTTGTCTTGCGTATTCCATTTCATCTCCTCCAACGTTGATGCAACACATGCACCAACCATATCACAAATGATATAATCCACTTCATATCATCACATGACCGTATTGGTTCATCGATCTTGACTTCACTTGCTTTTCACCGTTGCTTCGATCCATCGGTGCCAAGTCATCACTCAACTTGCCCTTCACACTTGCAACCGATCCATCAAGCCAAGCCTTGTCTTGATTTTCTCCACCTTGGTCACATGACTTAATGTCATGTCTCATATGCAATGAGTTCCTTCATCACATGTGTGAGCTTTGCAACATCTCCGAGCCATTTTCACCTCCATGGAATATATTGCTCACACAAGTGTTCTTGTGGACTAATCTCCTGTGTAAATCACTTAACCACACATTAGTCCACCTAGGTTGTCACTCAATTACCAAAACCAAACAAGGACCTTTCATCATAGCTATAGCCCAAGTCTCCGGTTTTCCTTTTCATGACCCGTGTTGAATCCCACTTTTAAAATGTATGTATAATAAATATTTTCTCTTGTATATTTAAATTTGAAGGGAATTCTTTTCCTTTACATATCATTGTGTATGCTTATGTGGAAAACTCGACGTTATTTTGGTATCTTTATTAAAATAAGTTGTCTAAAACAAAATGAAAATGATATATAAAAAGGGGTAGTATAAAGAAAAAGTTGATCAATTATCTACAGGGGCTACACCAGGAGGGTGCACTCGCACGCCCCCACCAGATACTAAGCCAACCGACTCAATCACAATTGGCCCTAGGCAAAAGGTTGGACACTCCGACACTTGGCTTGGCCATCTCGCCCAACTGACCTTTGGTCGGATAAGGCGGACAGATCATCCGAGTCACCATGAAGCTAATCTCCTTGAGCGAAGAGATAAGCATCCTCTAATGAAGAGTTATTTAAGGTGCTTAGAAAGAACAACATTATTGTGATGATTTGGGAGTCTTGTTGACTTGATATTAATGTGAGACCAAACTCATTTGAGAGCTTATCAAATAAGATTTCCATCAAGTACTCATGTGCCTCTATCACACTCTAGATAGAAGAGTTACAACATTTCCAATGAAGCAATGTTGAGTTGTTGACGAACCTAAAATTGGGTTGGAATGAACTTGCATGCCAACAAATTTTTATTTATATCGTTATGCAAATATAGGAACAAACTCATCCTGTTTTTAATTTTTAAAGTGGTATCGTATCCGAAGGTCACTAATGGCTCATTAGTGACGTGACTCAAGAGGTCACCACTTTTGCTCTGTTCACTATTCTGCATTTTTCGTGTAACGCCTCCAACTCCATCTAGGCATGCGCTAGGACTCACCCACGTGGACATATATATGGGCCTGCGATGTGATATGTGTGCATGTCGAAAGGAATTTATCTGGGTTCTCTGTGGACCAGTTTAGTAAGCATTTGGCTTTGGAGGCTTTCATCCCTTACAACCTCAACTCCTTGCCTGTAATACTTTGACATGATGGCTTGAATAGGATTATGATATTAGCAGAATGCAAATGCCAAAAACACGCGAGAACAAATGAAATGGTTGTTTGGGTGGAGCAAAGGAAAAGTATAGAATTTGATCTAGCCATCTCGGAGACATAAAGACTCCAAGAAAAAGAAAAACTTGCTACGAATTTGGAGTCAACACAATTCCTGTGGGTTGGATTCAACACACAATGACACAAAAATCTATACCATTCCAAGTTTCAGATCCTACAGAATTATTTTGGAGAGCTTTCTTTTTTCATCGATCATCTGACCCGGCCTGTCAGCCTCTGTGCCGCTGCCGCGTGTAACACCAACAGCACCAGCACATTATTCCTGTCAAGGCATGGCGGGATCATTCCAGTCCAGTCGGTCAATGGGGGCCCAAAAGGGTTAAAGGCGTCATAATTGAAACGCGGCACCCCACACCATCCATCCTCCTTCCTGCCACAGCAATAAAGCTACTACTCCATTCATCTACATGGACAGCTACCAGCACCAGCTACACATTTTGGAATGCAATGATTCAGTGCACCCTCAAAACATGGCCCCGAACTCGTTCATGCCGGCACCGATTCTTTTGACCGACACTTGTTTGCTTTGCCACTTGGACAGACTAATTAAGGAGGCTTTTCTTGGCATCGAAAACATGGTACAGTATTATGGTTTGGTTTCTAGTTCTTGCAGAAGATCAGGAGAAACGTTTCTCATTTTTTTAGTACTAACTATATAAGATTTTTTTCCAAAACAGTGTAAGTGTTTCTCATCAGTCATCAGAATCGTTTATGCAATTCTGAATTGACCGAACTATCCAAAGCATTTGCATAAGGTTAGCTGGATCTAGCGAACTCGTAGCCCAATAACTGCACAAAATGCCGCGGCCAACTAACCAAAGCGTTTGCAAAGACATAGTAGTATAAGTTATAAACATAATTTAAAGAATCCAGAACCGGAGATGGGACCGAAGAATCTGACAGGAAAATGAATAAACCACGCACTGACACTGTTCCAAGGTAAAGCGTCATCATGGAAAAGCTGTAGTACTGTTCTAAGAGTAGTACTAGTTTAAGCTCATCGGTAGCGTCCTTAATGATGGTAATCAACCACACAAATAATCTAGGGAGTGTTCGGCTGGCTGGCTGGCTGGCCAGCCCATTCACGCGGGCACTGGTCACATGAACAATGTCTTTCAGCCAGAACAGTCAGAACAATATTTTTCTCTCACAACAATCCAGCCAGAACAATATTTTTGCTTATTAACCAGCCAGTCGAACACTCCCCTAATCCCCTGGAGCGGTGATCATTGCTGTTCGTCCATGCCTGACAGTCCCCATCAATAAACAAATACTACCATGCGAATAGAATAAACATATGCTACCAAGAAATGCTTTTTACTCCACTAGGATTTCATTTCGTTAAGATACAACAGCAAAGGGCACCCTGTTAATGTTAATATACTGCTGAGTTTTAGGAGCATGTGCCGGGAGTGGATGGCAATCCAAATTTGTCTGGACTGACACCAAAACTTGTTAACAGCATGCACACTCGAGTATGAGAACCAAACCAAATGGATTTCTACCTTCTGGAAATCAGAGAGAAACATGCAGTCAATGTCTTGACAAATTTCTGCAAATTAAAAGTGTAATGAAGGAATATCTCTGGAAAATTATATGCATGTCTTGATTTGGTCCATTTGTCTTCGGCATCAGCAATGCGAGTTCTTGTGTATCATGAGGCGCCGTTTCATAACACCAGTTCAGTTCAACTAATTGAATTACTCCTAGGCAGCATACATTTTGCTAGTAGAATCTGTAACTAATTCTCACATTGTTAAGTGAAACAATGTAAAACCAACAAGAGGTGAGGTTGCTGGCCGAAACAAATCCAATAAAAACTAGTATAGTCATATGGGCATATTGCCATAAAACTGAAATGCTCCTGATCAATCTTTTCTTTGCACAGCTGAAGGTTTGCATCGGTGCTCACCTGCTGCAACTTGGTGTCTCCTTTGTATCCTGGAGGAGATAAATTTACAAGCAAAATTAGAATGGCAGGTTAAAATACCACAAATATTGAGAGCTGTGCCTGACAAGCGAGGAGAGTGAACAGAGTACATTTCGCCCAGAGGAGACATTTTCTGCTCTCATAATAGCACAGTTTATAGTTGTCATGGGTGTCACCAACAGAATTCACCGAGTTGTTTATGAAATTTTCTGTCACTTGTGTTCAAGTGGTGCAAGGAAATGGAACAAGACACACCATGTGAAAAGCAGAATGACGAATACATGAATTCAAAGTTTCAAAGGTCATGTGAGCTGAATCTGAAAAATACAGGACAGCTGTATCTATATTAGTGCAAAACCAAATCAAATTCCCACAGGCGGATATATCTATGTGTTATTCATGATTCATCCAACTGCAAAGGTCTGAATGCACCAGACAACAGCTGGCTATCATATAAATTGAACTTCCATGACCATTATATAGTTAGAATGTAAACCACAACATATGCACACTGATTTACTTGGATTAACAACATTGCTCTACCTTCAGTCCACCTTTTATGTAGCCACAGCCCACAAACACCACCCCAATTGGATGGTGGCTGTGCCTATAAAGGCTCATCTCTCCCTTATCAAGACTATCCATAATTACTATACCAAACTTCGCATTCAAGGAAGTTTCTTTCTCCAAAGAAAGGACAAAAAGAGAAAGAGAAGAGGAAAGGGAAAAAAGATATGTTCTAGCTGGCACTCAAAGTACACTGATGATTGAGCCACGGTGTTTCAACTTTCAACCATGGCGATGTTGATCACCTGTGACCTTGGGCAGCAACACGAAGCTAACTGGCCGGCGCCATCTTTTCTCTCCCCCTCACATCACCGAGCAGCTGTTCGGGTTCTCGTCACTGAAGATGTTGTAATCCCCGGAATGCGAATGGGGCGGGGGCATTGGGTACCCCATTGGGTAATGCATCGGTGGGCGGCCATAGCCGTAGCCCATTGACGGGTACCCTGCACTGTCATGGCCGTGGTGGTGGCCATGGCCATTCATCATCATCTGCTGCTGCTGCTGCATCAAGGCCATACTCGCCATGGGGTTCCCGGCCGCAGCAGCAGCCTGCAGCATCTCGGCGCCCGACGGCATGCCACCTCCTCCATGGTAGAACCCTGGCGCTGGCATGCCCTGTACGGCACCACTGGCGCCGGCGCCGCCGCCACCGCCACCCTGATACATCAAACCCATGGTCGGATGCTCGGCGGCATACGCATGGGTGCGCCGCCGCCCATCTGCCCTGTACCAGGGAAGCCGGCACCACCGATCATGTTAGGCCTCACCATGCCCTGCTGTTGAGGCAGCATGCCGGACATGGGCCCCCCAACACCGGCGGCATTGCCGCCGCCCTTCTTCCCCTAGGCCGGTTGACTTCTTCCCTTCGCACCCACGTTGTGGCCCTGACCATTTCCCTTGCTCTGCGTCGGGATCTCGTTCCCGCCGCCACCCTTCTTGCCGCCTTTCTTGTCGCCCCCGCCGGCGCCCATGGGCTTCATCATCATCTTGGGGTCGTCGTAGAAATCGTCGTCGAGGCCGTAGTCGTCGTAGCCATCGAAGTCGTCGAACTCATCATCGAATTCGCTGCCGTCGTCGTCGAAGTCATCCTCGGCGAGGGCAAACTTGACGGACTTGGGGTCCTTCAACGGCGCAGCCGGGGTGAACGCCGGCATATTGCCGCCCAAGAGCTGCGGCGGAAGTTTCAGCCCCTTCATCTGCAACTGCTGCTGCAGCTGCTGGAGCTGCTGCGGCGTTGGCTGTGGCAGCACCATCTTCGCATCCTTGCCTCCGCCGCCACCACCACCCTTGTGGTTGCCACCGCCCTTCTGGGCTTTGCCGCCGCCGCCGTCCTTGGAATGGCCCTTGCCGCCGGCGTCCTTGGGCTGGCCCTTGCCCCCACCACCACCATGGTGGACATTCTGAGGCACGCCAGGCTTGGAGCCCCACAGCTGCGCCGGCTTGCCGGCCTTGTTGAGCTTCCTGATGATGGTGTCCGGATCCAGCAAGCCGGACACCGTCACCTTCCCCTGTTCGGCGTCGATGCTGCTTTGATAGGCACCTACGGATCAATTTCGTGAGAATTTCATCATAAAACGCAGAGCAAACGTTGAGAAAAGAAAACACTAATCGACAAGAAAAACTCAAGCAATCCGCTCTTTGACAAAAGATGAGTTTTTCTCTCTCTCTTACCGTCGATCTTGTGGAGGGTCTTCTTGACCTTCTCGCACCCATCACAGTGTATGTTCACTCTCAGCGTCAAGGTCTGAGAATGAGGGGGGAAACATCACCAACACAGCAAAACAAAAATGATTTTCAAGAAACGAAAACATGGCAGCAGACTTGGAAGGGAACACATGCTGCAAACACAAGCAAAAGCTGCCTCCACCTGCTGGAGGAAAATGGCAGCCAAAACAAGAAGAATGGTGGTTGAGTAGAGAAGAAGCAAAGCTCACACACCTGAACCTTGAGGACATCCTCCTTGCTCATCGTAAACACGACTTCAAATGCTACAACCATCCTTCATCTCTCTTTCCACAGCACTCCAGCGCACCGCCTGCCATCCTTCATCTCCACCCAGACATCCACCCACCGCGGCGTTCTCCACCGCGCTGGCCACCTTCTCCACCAGAGCTGCGAGCCACTCCATTGCATCGAGCTCCACGCCAGCGTCGAGTTCCGCGTCGATGAGCCTCCATACATCCAAGGCAGCAAATATATGTTACGCTGAAAGCGTATGTTTCAAGTGCTTCAGATGTTTTAAGAGATATGTTGCGAGTGTTTCATATAGATGTTACAAAAGTAGATCGAGAAGTTACATATGTTGCAATTATTGTACACGTATGTTGCAAACTTCTGTTCCTAATGTTTCATCTACTTTTAGACGTACGTTGTAAGGATGTCTATCTAGATGTTGCATATATATTGCAAGTGTTTTATCTTAATGTTGCGTATGTTTACAATGGTTTAGAAGTGTTTTCAAGTGCTTTTGCGAGTGTTTCAGACACAAGTTTCAAATATTTTATCTGACTTCAGACGTATGTTGCAAGTGTTATATTTGGATATTTCAAAAATAGGTCGGGTGTTGCACATGTTGTAATGTGACCTATCTGTTGTAGCTGCTGGGGGCACGAGGGGTCAGGCACGGCGCAAACGCCACGTGGGGATGGGCGCGGTACGCAGAGTGCAGGCGCGGTTCGGACACGGGCATCCGTCCGGGCGTTAGCACTGCCGTGAGTTGAATCGCAGCTCCACCACCACCAACAGAAGATGCTTTGGCAGTTGAAAGACACTAAAATTTTATTAATAGCAATGTTTCAAATTGCAACATGCTTCACATCAGTCGGAAAACTGCAAGAATGTTATACATGAACAACAAAGAATTAATTGGCGCACAAGAAATGAACTTGAGCTTTCAAGCTTTTCTCAGAATCATCACAAATCCTTCCTTATTTTTATCTATATGAAACCACATAAAAAATCCACACATGCTGATGTTGATTACATACCAAAGATCTGAGAGATGACCTTGAAGCCCTTGAATACGCTGTTCATCTTGTACAACATTGATAGATGTGAACAAGAACAAGTCTTTTGGACACTGAAACGTGAAGAAGGCAACAAATGTAAAGCAAAGAGCTCTAGATTCAAAACTGCCTTTTGTTTCTAAATGATTTTGTCTAAAGAAAGAGAGATATACTAGTAGGGAGGAGGGCCGGACGGCCGGTCACCGCCGGTGGGCAGTGGCCTGGAGGCTGGAGCCCTGGACTGGAGTCAGGGGTTGAGGCCACAAGGAGCTGGAGGCCGGTCGCCGGTGGACGGTGGCGCAGGATAGCCGCATGCCGGCGTGGCGCCTGGCCTGTTGGCGGAGACGAGGAGGCCGATGACCCGGCGGCCGGCGTGCGCTGTGGCGGCGCGGCCTGGGTCATCGTCGTTGGCTCCCCTTCTCCTATTGTCCGTCCGTGTCGATTCAGCGCTTTTGGGCGCAGTCGGAGGGAACGGGAAGCCGAATCATAAGCATGGCCCTACTCATTTTCTTACTGGACCTTTGTGTATTGGGCCTTTAAATACAAAAGTAATCTTTTCATAAACATTAAATCAAATAAATAAATTAACACTCCACTAAAAAAATAAAATAAATTAACATATACTGACATATATAAATATAGAAATACACTACAGTATTACACCCTGATATATCCATAATTCACTAATAATTATCTGTATATCCATTTAGGATAAAGTGATAGTAAATCCAAATCTCTAGGGTCTACATCCAGCCAGCGATCAATTTCTTAAAATGTAAGACATCAACTTATACAAGACTAACATAAGTTCAATACCACCAGCTTGTCTTATAAGCCGTACTTTTTCAGCCAACGAATAGTATTTTTCTCTCACAACAAATCAGCCAAAAGTACTTTCAATCATAGCTTATCATCCAAGCGAACATGGCATTCATTAGGCTCGCAAGCCAGCAGAAATGTTGAGTCACCTTGTTGAAAAAAATATAAACAAACTGAGTTGAGTCAATTCACTAACAACTCGACTCAAACGAGCTACCAAGGTGCGAGCTTTTTGTCGAGTCCTAGCGGTATGGCATGGGGTCACAGTCACAGCCATCCTAGGAGGCAGACTGATGCCATGTATAGTAATCTCCCTAGATGGTTGATTACACCAAAAGGAACCTCCATGTTCATTCATAAGGCCCCAAAATTATCATATTAGTCAGAAGAAATAAAATCAAAGTGCCCTTTAGATATTTTGATAAAATCCACCACTATCATTATATAAAAAATTACCCTAAATGTCCTTATACCTATTCCACTATTACCCACTCATGTCATTATTAAGAAAAAGAAAAAAAAACAGATAAAAAAAGGAAAGAAAAACATCAAGCTAACCACATACATACACCATACTTAATGCATTTACATTTGGGAATGACATTTAAATGATAGTAAATGGTAAAATACAAACATACATAATATGAGATATTTTTTTAGAAAAAAACATATAGCTAAACGCTATCATCATAACCCCTAAGAGCAAGGCTAATAATATAGCCGGCATGCCAGCTGTAAGGATCTTTATAGCCTTCTCTCATTCCACTCATATAGTAATTAGCTCTTCACTATTAATACATAGCCCACTTATCTCTCACACAAAGTTTCTCGGTTCTTATGTCTAAGCTGGCTATCAGCTTACAACGCACTTCTCTTCTCTCTCCTCTCCTCTCTCCTCCACCTCAACGTTCAGCCAGCTTACAGCCCGCTATTATACTTGCTCTAATGGTGATAAAAAACTACCCATATAAAGCCATCACTCAGTAAGCAAGGCATGAAATTGAATAACACAAGATGATTTGAGTAGCGACTCTATATATATCAGAAGTCATGGAGCCTGTCAAATACTCCCTCTGTTCCAAATTATAAGTCGTTTATACTTCCTCTGTTCCAAATTATAAGTCGCTTTGATTTTTTTTTATATACTTATTTTGCTATTTTGCTATGTATCTGGATATAATATTATGTCTAAATACATAGCAAATTGGATGAATAAAAAAATTAAAGTGACTTATAATTTAGAATGGATGGAGTATATAAGAGGAAGAAATATCTTACAAATTGCTGATGGTGAAGATTACAACATTAATGAGATTAAGATTTGATAATATGACACGATTAAAAATCGGCACTACGTTTGCATGTTGTATTGCACGATAGTCACAATTAGATTACTGCATCACTTGTCTAAACCTGGCATTAGTGATAAAAAATAAATATGTGTTTTTTTAAATTCAAACTCATTTATTAAGACGAATTTATTAAGCCTAATTAGTTCATGATTGGACAATATTGTGCTACAGAAAACATGTGCTAATGACGGATTAATTAAGCTTAATAAATTCGTCTCGTGAATTACTGAGGACTTCTGTAATTTATTTTTTATTAGTATTCGAACACCCCATGCAACACACAATGTGACATTCGATGTGACACCTCTTAAACTTTAGTCCATGTATTCAAACACTCCCAACTGCTAATATTCTTTTAACTACATACATGTTTACGAATCTTTTATTGTATTTTGACACTCAGAACATCTCCAACAAACTCTTTATATCTTTTATAATTTATAGTAATAGAGATTTTAGTGAAAAAATACCCTTCAACAACATCTTCAATTGAATATCCAAATATAGACATCCTCTATTCCGAACTTCTCGCTAGCCAAAAACAAAGAGTGAGGATGACTCTATAGACTATGAACAAGATATAAAAAAGTTGTTGGAGGATAAAAAATATAGAAAATGATTTTTACTCGAATGACTCTCCAAATAACGATTTAGAGAATAAATTTTAGAAAGGCTCTGAAAATGCTCTAAACGATATCAAATGAAAAAGTTGTAGATCTTGTCAAGTACTACAAGTTTGATGTTGACTTTATCGTCATTTAACATGGTTAACTATCTCAAATCTAATCTAAGAACTTATATTGAATATTTGGACATATAAACCATCTAAATTTAAAATGTTGTCAGCTACAAAGTTTCGGATATCTTTGAACTCTATAATTTTTTATAGAGTTTATCTTGATATGACCTTATATAAAAAAGTTACGATTTTTTGTGGCAAAAGAGCCTATCATTGGTGGTTGAATCCATGAACCGATAGCTGTCAGCTTGTGGCTACAATTAGCTGTGATAGGTGGACTTTAACTACCAGTTCGTAGCTACTACTGGCAGTGATAACAAACCGGCAGTGAAAATTCACTTATTGGTCCTGTTTGGTAGAGCTTATTATCTTAAAAGCGTTTTTCAGATAAGTTGTACAAATAGAATAAGAGTGGGGCCAAATAAGCTAGTATGATCTAGCTGCTGCTTTTTAATATAAATAGGAGCGCTGAGAATAAGCGTGACCGAAATAGACTAAAAAAGCATATCGTTTGGTCGTTGATTTCAACTAAGCCATACCAAACAGGTTTTCGGTTGTACTATCACTAACGATTAAAAGTATGAACCACTGGTAATAATAGTCTAACAGTGATTGTCTATTTTATGATAGTAGTATTTAAAGCCTTGTTTGGGAGAACTCCTACGACGGCTCGAATTGTCTAACTTACTGAAGGTAAGTCATGGGTTGCCCCCCGCTCGACGCCATTCATTTGCTATCCAACGGTTGATATAAGAGTACCTTTCCACCTTCCAAATCACAGCCCAGTTGCGTCTCGTGGCCCAAATAAGGCCCAGCTCGCGTTCAAGGAATGACCTACGCCTAACTTGTTCCTGCGGCCGCTGAGAAAAAGTGGCGCGACGGCGTACGGGATAATTTTGGGCTGGACTGGCGCGCCGCCGCGGCCAAGCGTCCGCACCGCCGTTGCCCCAACTGTGTCCGCGCGGTTTGCTGCTGAGCGTTGGCGGTCCTTAACTCTTAATTTTAACCGCCAACATTCATATAAAATTCACTCAAATAAAAATCAAACCCAGTAATAGGACTTTAAACTAATGATTTCCATAT